GCCTCCCAGGCTGTGCCCTGTACCCTGCCTTCCCCTTGTTTGACCCTCCTGCCGGGCTCACTGCCCCCCTCCCCCGGGCTGTGCCTGCCCCTCCTCCCACATGCTCCCCGTTACAGCAGCTGCTCCCTCCCAGCCTGGGCCCAGCCAGCTCCCTGCCCACAGCTGGGACCTCTCCTCTCACCCTCCTCCTGCAGCACCAGGGTCCGGGGGCTCATTCCGGAAGCGCTGCAAAGGGCAAGGAGGGTCCGTCAGCTCCTGGGGCTGTGCCTGCCCTAGCTGGGTTCCTAGGGCTACTCTGGCGAGCCAGCTCATCCCAGCTTCAAGGGGCAGGTTGGGAGCTGGGGCGGCCAGTGCCTGCATCAGTGTCCATGGGCTAATCCACTAACCCCTATCTTCCCCACATCCTCCTCCCACCCTGTGCTTGTTCTGACAGCACCTTCTCCAGAGCAGGGCCGTCTCCTGGCTCGTTTGCACAGCACCTAGCATGGCAGGGCCCGAGCTGGGTCAGCAGCTCCCAGGCTCCCCAGCAATCAGAACAACAGAAATGTTCTGGTTGGCCCATAGTGAGGAACTTTCCCCCTGTAGCGGAGGCCACGTCCCCCAGGCCTGGCGCCCTGTCCCCCTCTAGGCCTGCCAGAGGTTGACTGGCCTGCTACAGCCATTCCCCATCCTTTAGCGAGGGCAGCAGAGGCCCACTTAATGTGGTTGAGTCCCGGGTGGCTGATGGGAACTCACCAACCCACCCAGCTGTGCTGGTCCGAGACGAGGACGGCTTTAGGCACAGTCATGCACCCCCACCCCTTTCCTGCACATTCTCCTCTCTGAGCCAGAGTCCTGCTCTGCTACAGACTTCCCATGTGACCTCGGTCAAGTCACTTAGTCTTTCTGAGCTTCGGTTCCCAGCCTGCCCAATGGGGATTTCAGCTGACAGCGTGTGAGGTGCTCACACAGCATGGAGAGAAAGGCCAGATAAACCCCTCCCATGCGCGGAGCTGACCGGGGCTGTGACCTTACTGGAGCAGCAGAGCCTCACTTCAGACTGCGCTGGGTCTGCCTTCACTCTCCCCTTGGGAGCTGCTCCATGCTGCCTGGTGGTGGCGTGCCATCACATGATGCGCGGGACACGGCCACACAGCTGCGGCTTTGCATTCCTCGTGGGACGGGGGCCCAGACCCCCTCTTCACCTAGCAAACAAGCAAGAGCTGAAAACGTCACAGCCCAGTTCGGGGCTGACAAAGCCACCTGGCTTCTGCCGGATTCTGAGTCAAAGGCCACGCAGCGGAGAGCCGAGGCCACATGCTGCAGAGCCCACAAGGCAGAGTGGTGACACCAGCCTTGCAAGCGGTCCCTGACTCTGTGGCTGGGACGCCCGGGCCAGGGAAAAGCTCCTGCAGAGACCCCTTTGGGACTTTTTCTCACAGGCACCCGGGGAGCCACCGCACCAAACGGCAAAGCCTGCCTGTGATAGAAACCGCTCCAAGGCAGGGCCCCGAGCGTGGACCGAACTCAAGCAGCCGTGGCTCTCTGGGCTGGGCCCCTTGGACCCCCTGTCGCACGTTCCAGGCCTGGCACGGGGTGCAGAATGGCGCATCCCTGTGCACTCACCTGCTGCCACCGGGAGCCTGATCTTGTGCAGGTCAAGCCTGTTGCCACGTGCGACGCCATGGCAACCAGGTAACTAGGTAACCATTGACGGGTCACCTGTGACCTAGGCAGGGCTCCAGGCTCAGAGCACCCCCTGCTGGAGGGAGCAGAGCTACTCGGCTGCGTGGCCTGGCCCTGGCCTGGGGCAGTGAGGGTTTGCCACGGTGGGGGTCAGTGCTTTTGGAGCCAGGCCATCCAGCGCGGTGCAGCCAGAGATGACAGATCCCTCCCTGGGTGTGATGGACCGGGCCGTGTCTGGGCACAGCTGAGGGCGTCCGCTCAGGGCGAATTGCTCAAATCCGGGGCTCCTTACAGCCCCCAGACTGGTGACCTCTCCAAAAAGGCCACAAACCAGTCTCACAGAGCGCTTCAGCTGCCTGCCTGAAGCCTCACGAGCAAAACCCCTCCGACACCCCAGCAATATCCGTGCCCC